TATGTTGCTTAATAGTATTTATTTAAGAGTATAGGTAGAACTAGAAAAGGAACATTTAAGCTCTTAATAAAAGCATTTTTAATCTTAATTGGAATCCAGCCTTGCTTGTGCCTTGCTTTACCCAGTACTCATGGCCTATGCACCACTGTCTGCATTAATCTCAGAAAGGATTTAACTGTTTCCCAACTCAGTCTGCATTCCCGGTGAAGAACAGGAGCTCCTAACCTCCCTAACTGGTTTGTTATCTGACCTTCCCGCTCAAGAGTCACCGCTCCAGGGCTGCCTTTCTTTGCTGTTAGCATAAATATATCAGAACAGTAAATCTACCTGGATTACGTTTTAGTTGTCTTAGCACTAAATAGACTAGGAATGTCTTCCAGGTCAGTACTGGGGGCATCTAGAGCAAGAAACAACAGAACATGGCTTTGTCCTGAGACCTGTTGACAGTTACAGCCAGGGTGATACAACTTTGGAAAGTTGCTTGTGGAGGTTCATAATCCCAGGGGCAGACCGGGCCCGTAGAACTTGAGACGCAAGTATAATGTACCTGTGTCAGATCGATGCGTTTCGGCCGCGGAGAATTCTGACCAGCTGGTACTGGGGTGCAGCCAGCCCTTGGCCCGGCCGCCGACACGGACCCCCAGCAGAGGCGGGAGATCAGCCCTGGGGTCTGGGGCAGTTCGGCCTGAAAGCGAACGGCCTCTCTTCCCGTCCAGCTTTCCTTCTCCCCCACCACGCCGATGAGCAGCCACGGCCGCGTCCTGTCCCTGCTGGTGGTGATGCTGCTCTCCTGCTGCGGACTGGCGCTGGTCTGCTGCGCCACGGGCTACACCCAGGGAGTGCACACGCTGGCGTTCATGGCCGCGGAGGTAAGACGCAGCCGCAGCTTTCGCAAAGCCCGTCACATCCTTGTTCCCAAGGAAGCTTGGGGTATTTCACCCACAAAAGTAATCAGAAGCGATGGATAGGTGCTTGGTCGCTCCTTTAACAGGCATTTTTTGAGTTCCGTTGCTTTGGGTTATTGAATCTGAATGCTGTTGAATGTTTTGTTTTTTCATGTAATTGCTACTACAACCTAATTGTAGTTATTTTTTGCCACCGTTAATGTAGTATTTGCTATGTGCTAGAGATCGTTCTCAGTGCTTTGCTATGTACTTCTATTTGCGAGTGGAGAAGCAGGCCTAGAGGGTGAAGTGACTTGCTCATGGTTCCAGAGTAGCGAGGGGCACAATCTGAGTTCCTCCGTGTGGCAAGGCCATTTCCCCTTAAGATGCTGTCAGTAGTAATTAATGAGAAAATACTGGTTCTTTTAGATAGGACCTAAGATTTTACTCAATGATGCAAATAAGTCAGGTATATTCAGTTATACTGTAATACAGTTAAACTGTATTATTTTGAAGGAATAATATGAGACGCTCTTGTGTATTTTTAAAGATTGTTTTTAAAGATTTATTTATTTATACATACAAGACCCGGGGTACCGGCCAGAGGTGCAAGGAGTGAGGCTATTCATCAGAGACAGAGTGGGGAGCAGAACAGGCCGGCTGACTGAAGCACACTGCTGAGGGGAGCAGCGGGGAGACAGGAGCGGTCTGCTGCGCCCTGTGGGTCACTCCCTGGCCAGGATCGAACTTGCGCTGCAGGGGCCACAGACAGGTCCACAGTGCTGCACTTTAACCTGTTGGGCCATTAGGACGGGCTCTCGTGTGTATTTTTAAATACACTTTTTTTTTTTTATTAAAGATTTTTATTTATTTGCGCATACAGAACTGGGGTACAGGCCAGAGATGCGGAGGGTGAGAGGATTCACCAGAGACAGAGTGGGAGCAGACAGGCAGAAGTACACTGCTGAGGGGAGCAGCGGGCGGGTCAGGAGAGGTCTGCCGCGCCATGTGGTCACCTCTGGGGCAGGCGGGAATCGAACTCATGCGGAAGTGGCTTTAGTTTCTCAGTGCAGTGCTTTAACCCGCTGCGCCACCAGGGAGGGCCCTAAATACACTTTTTAACCCTTTCTGAAAATAGTCATTTCTACTCAATAGAAATCAACATTTTCTCATTTGTCCTTATTTTCAGTAGCTATATTTGCTTTTATCCTCAGGCAAATGCTTTTATCTTGTCTATACTTGCTATTATTAATAAAAAATTGAAGTAATAGGTATACCAAAGTTATTTTAGCTAATACTAAAACACTGAGTTCAAAATTCCTAATTGGGCATTTATTAGTTAGGGCTAAAATATATGTTGCTTAATAGTATTTATTTAAGAGTATAGGTAGAACTAGAAAAGGAACATTTAAGCTCTTAATAAAAGCATTTTTAATCTTAATTGGAATACTTTCTGTATATGAAGTGTATACAGCTGTGTTTCCTCTTGAAAAAGATTAGTGTGTTTTACATATATTATAAATCATTTAAATAGTACTGTGTTTTCCTTCTTTGGTTTTCTTTTAATTATTATTAGGACAAATTTTTTTTTAAAAGTACACCTGAAAATAAAGACATTTAAATTAACCCTGTTAGGTCATACTAAACTATTTATTTTATTTTGACTCATTACTTTTTTTTAAAGATAATTCATCAGAGTGTATGTTATTTTGAATGAAAGCTATTTCACCTACATATAATGTTTATCTTTTGTGTAAAGTATTTTTCATTTATAGCTAGAATTTTCGTAATCTAAAATGTAAATAATGTTGGAACAGTCTTATTCTAATTAACTGAGAGAAAATGTAAAATGCACAAGGGGCTTATCTAATTTTTCACCCCTCTTTTCTGTGTGGGAAAGAAGAATTTCCAGGTGGTATGTGGAGAGCAGGTCCACTGGTCTGCACATAAGCTTCACTTTGTTAGGGGGTCACCACGTATTCAGACACCCCTTTAGATCATCCGCTGTGGTGATTTAATGTTGTTTATAGTAGAAGTGATGGTCAGACTTCTAGAATGAACCGCAGGCGGCAGAGACATCTTCAGGAGAGGGATGGGTGTAACTGGTGGTCACTTGTTAATAGGAAAAAGGCTTGATCACAATTGAGATTCCAGGTCTTGGAAACACGCTATGAAAGGCACAACAGGTGAAATAAAGTGGTTAGCAGCCTGAGAAACCTGCACCTCCCTCTTTGGGTTTTACTGAGGTATAGTTGCACACAGCTCTGTGCGCTTACAGTGTCCAGCAGAGGACTTGACGTACAGAGGCTGTGAGATGACCACCATGATAAGTTTCTTTACCACCTGCATCTTCTGTGGATTGTTCTCCCCTGAGATGAGAACGCTTAGGAGTTGCCTTTTCAGGGACTTTCAGGTAGGCCGTGAGCAGTGCCTAAGGCGGTGCCTTGAGCAGTGATGCAGCCTACTGACCGGTTCTGTGCCTGTTGGCCTGTCTCCCCCCCCAAACAGGCTGCTTTTCAGTTTAGCGCAGAAATGTATTTATCTGTCGTCATGCTGTAAAAATCAGACCTGAGCTTTCCTAACTTTTCCTAAACAATTTTTTACAGTCTCTCCTTGTGACTGTGAGGACTGCTCATGTGATTTTACGGTGAGTTGGAACTTGGGAGGGAGGTGACTGAAGCCGCTCACAAAGTTGCCTTTAGGGCGTGGTGTACACTAAATATCTGTCTGTAATATGACTGTGCTGTGTCACATTAAAGCTAACTCACTTGTGGCAGACTAATGAGGTGGCTTTCCTCTGTGTACTCCAGCTACGTAATTCACCTCTGGGATCTCAACCACGAGGGGACCTGGGAAGGAAAGGGAACCTATGTCTACTACACAGACTTTGTCATGGAGCTCACTCTCCTGTCCCTGGACCTCATGCACCACATTCACATGTTGGTAAGTTTCCAGAAGCAGCTCGGGGAGCTTCTTCTCTTAGAGTTGGGAAACCCGGGTTAGTGCCTGAGCAAATGGAACCTTTGTGGATGAACCACTTACAGGCCCTGGAGGCAGGCTCGGCTCAGCCTGCCGGGTTCGCCTGTTTTGTTTCGCCACTGGGTTAGAGCTGTGTCCTGGAGCCACTCTGGCTGGGGCCCAGCTCAGGAGCCGCCGCGGACACCTCCAGAGGCAGCTTGGTTGACCACGTCAGTAGCGATTCTTTTAGCCGGAGTTAGGGAGACACCGCTTCCTGGCCTCTCCTGGCTGCTAGTATTAGCGGCTCCTCTGTGGATGGTGGTGGCGCTGTGCGGTGCCAGCTGCTTCAGGGCTTCATGGAGTTTCCATCTTTGTAATGAAAAGCAAAATCTTTATATCAAAATTCCTCCTGCCTGCATTGTTTACATTTCAATTTGATATACAGGAAATGCCATTCTTGAAAGCTTGCTCTATTGGGTGGCCTTTCAGTGATATAATAATGGTGAGGTTCAGCATATTTGTTAGGCAATTAATTTAAATTGTAAGAATGTCAAGTCGCATTTAAAATTATTGGATTAATCCCAGCACATTTCTAAGTGTACTTTTTGAAAGTAACTTTTAAAAGACACTTAAGAAAAAATGTATATCTTTTGTTTAAAAAAAAAAGAGCTGCCCCCCCCCTTCCAATAGCTTGCAAGAGGCCCACAAAGATAACTGTTAACACTTTCCTAACACTTTTGTTGTGTTAACACTTTCCTAACACTTTTGTTGTACGGTTTCTTTATACATAAATTCGTAAGTTGACATATTGTGACTATATAGTTTAGATTTTTTTAAAACTTAAAATTTTCTTTATATATATATATATATATTTGTTTTTTAAAAAGATTTATTTATTTATGCACATAAGAACTGGGGTAAAGGCCAGAAGTGCAGGGGGTGAGAGGATTCACTAGAGACAGAGTGGGGAGCAGAACAGGCAGACGGAGATAGACTGCTGAGAGGAGCAGGGGGCGGGTCAGGAGAGGTCTGCTGCGCCCTGTCGGTCACTCCCTGGCCAGGGATCAAACTCGTGCTGCAGTGGCTGCGGACAGCTTCAGAGTGCTGCGCTTCAATCCCTGGTGCTACCAGGGAGGGGCCTTAGTTAGATTTTTTTTTTCCAGTTAATGATTTATGCATATTTTCCTGTGCTAGCAGCAAATTCATCTTATCCATTTTAATGTTTACAAAATCAAAATTCTACCATATAGATGGTTTAATTAACTCACTTTCATAAAGGGGTTAGTTTGTGTTGGTGTTTTGCTATTTCACATCTTATATGATTTTTTTTATCACATTTCTTCAAAGTAGTTTTAGCCTAATTTTTTTTTAACTACCAAATAATAAACTTCCAAAACGTTATTTATATGTATATATAAAAGACCTTGATGTGTAATTTTATTACACAATAGGTATAGTTAATGGCTATATAGTATTAGCCTTGTATGTGTTTACCAGGCATTTTGCTCATTTCCTGATTCTCTTTTTGATAGCATCTTTTTGCATTGTGCTGTTAAATTTCTGGTTGGTGCCTCATGAAGCTTTCTGTTGTTGGAACTCTAGGCCAGAGAGCATGTACATGGTTTAGGGTAGTGAGATAAATGTATCATTTGCTTCCTAAAAGATCTGCTTATTCATCAGCAGTTAAGAGCCTGTGTGGTACATTTCACCGTCGTCTCTTGCAAGTTGACATACATCTTTATTGTGTGTCCTCTTTCCTCTTAAGTTATTTGGCAACATCTGGCTGTCCATGGCCAGCCTGGTCATCTTCATGCAGCTGCGCTACCTGTTCCACGAGGTGCAGCGTCGGATCCGCCGGCACAAGAACTACCTGCGTGTGGTTGGGAACATGGAAGCCAGGTGAGGTGTCCAGGCTTCCTCACCTTTAGATCTTTCATAGTGACAGATTCCAGATTGTTTACTGCAGGCTGCTTGGTGAACTACCAACAGGATGGTGAAGAGTGTAGGCTTGGCGTCAGGCTTCTTGAATGTGAATCTTCGGTGCCATAGAGATTTGGGTCCTGAACTCGCTGTGCCCCGGGAGTCTCACCCCCGGGAGCGACAGCAGAGGTTCTTTGAACTGTTGGGAGCTTTCAGTGGGCTGACGCGTAGTGTACTTAGACTAATGCTGGGTACATAGTATATGCTCAGGAAATACTAAGTTCTTGTTATTTTTATCAATATCAAAATCAAGATAAACACTGCCACAGTCACCTCCCCACGGGTCTGTCACCCACGTCTGTGTCACCCAGTCCAGGGCCAAGAAGCCAGAGCCGCTTCTCCACACGTCTCTGCTCCATGTCCTTCCCTCACGTCCCCTTCTGGCTCCATCCCGCTTCCTTCCTCTTCAGTCCCCTCTCCAGATTCCGCTCCTCTCTCCTTAGCTCCACCCTCCTCCTCGGTGGGGCAGGGAACTGGGAACCTCCCCTTTTCATGAGGACCCCCCTGTTAACAAAGCCAGACTGAAGGTTTGGTGACTTTAATTGGGTATTTTACTTGTGTCTGCGGGAACTGTTTGGCTCTCTGGGAGTCTTAACTTCTTTGATTTACCCACAAATTCTTCCTCAGTTCATCGCTGACAGGCGCCACCATTTAGAAAAAGTTGGTTTCTTTGTGTTAGCTCTTACTTGCTCTTTGATGGACTACAAGGAGCAGGCAGGTGCAGTGTTGGTGATACTTGGAAATTCCTTTCTGAACAGGATTTCCCCAGTGCCGTTGGGAAGGTGTGGTCTGTAAGCTGTGTGCGGTTCTGTTTCCACAGGTTTGCAATCGCGACTCCGGAGGAGCTGGCTGTTAATAACGACGACTGCGCCATCTGTTGGGATTCCATGCAGGCCGCCAGGAGGCTGCCCTGTGGCCATCTCTTCCACAAGTAGGAGCTTTGTGAAGGGCCCCTGGAACTGGGGCTCTGTCCCAGGCCTGTGGTGCTTTTTGCTCCCGGGACTGAGGACTGATCCTGGCAGAGGTGGGGAGGTAGCCCGAGACGGCATGGTTCTGGCCCTCTGAGCCGCAAGGAGGCCTTGGGGCATCCTCCTGGGGCCTGCGCCTCTCCCGGCCCAGGCTTCCCCACCTGCAGTTTGCCACTCTCGTTTCTTGCTTTACGGCTAGCTTCAGATTCCTTCTCCACACGGCAGATAGGCCTGGGAGGTTTGAAAGAAAGGGTTTAGGTGATTCCTTGTTTTCAACACCTTGCTCCCTAATTGGGGTGAGAGAATGTGTATTTTCACACTTTGCATATCCCCAAAGCAATGCAAGTACGCAGAGAGGAGACGTGGCCGGAGATGGGACTAGATTAGGACTACTCACTGGCCCAGGGGGCTGTGACCGGTCACTCCGGAGGGTCTCCCCTCAGGGTCGGCCTGTGTGTGGCCTGTGTCAAGTCCTCGCTGTCTTACATGAGTCATTTTTAGGGGTCTCTAGGGCCCTGTTTCACTTAAGCCATCTTGTTTTTGTGAGGACATTTTTGATGTTGATGGACTTTGATGTACATTTTGGCCTTTTGCATCTGTGGTCAGTTTTGCATATCAGAAAAGTTTTGATCTTATATCTTTGATCTTACTGAATAATTATATCCTTTTGATATTGGTATTACATTTTAATCTTATTTTATATTTTCAGGGTTTTTCTTCTTTTTTTATTATCAGAAGGACTCTGAAATAGATTATCAGTAGCTCGACAAATAAAACAGGCTTTTTATAGGCTCCAGTGCTGTGTTGGGCTCTGAGGATAAATAAACACGACAGATAGAGTCTCTGCTTGCACAAAGCTTATCGTCTGAGGGAGGAGCCAGGAGCGAGCCGGCACACTCAGGAGCAGACTGTGCGTGGGGCAGGAGCTGCAGGGGCAGGCGCTGGCGGCTGAGGTAGACCGAGGGTCTGACTGCCCCGGAGGAGCGATCCTGAGCCGCGAAGGCTGCAGGGGCAGGAGCAGGAGGGGCCTCCGAGGGCGCTTGAGACTGCCACCGTCTCTGTGTGGCAGGCAGTGTGGCGTACTGGGCGAGCAGCAGAGACCTGGGGGGCCGGAACTCAGAACGTGGGGGCCGGAGAGCAGGCGTGACCCTCACCTGCGGGGCTTGCGGGCCAGCGCTGCGTGAGGCCCACTGGGGATTTTTAAGTCAGGGCTGGAAGGCTTGGAGGGATCACGCGCCCCTGGGGCAGGCGTGTGTGGAGAGCAGCCGGGGCTCCAGAGGGGGCTCCGTGGGGGACGTAGAGGTGGGGAGCAGACTTCGAAGAGGATGAGGCGGCGCGGGCTGCCCTGTGGGCCGGGAGAGTGCCGGGGCTCGAGTTCTGCGGCTGGCGGGCGGTGCCTGCGCGCTCACAGGGCTGCTGAGGTGTCTTCTGTTGGCTCTCCGGTAGCTCCTGCCTTCGCTCCTGGCTGGAGCAAGACACCTCCTGCCCGACATGCAGAATGTCTCTCAACATCGCTGACGGCAGTCGCGCGCGGGAAGACCATCAAGGAGAGAACCTGGATGAGAATTTGGTGCCCGTGGCAGCAGCCGAAGGCAGACCGCGCTTAAACCAGCACAATCACTTCTTCCACTTCGATGGTGAGCTGGCTCCACCCGCTAGAGCCCAGCAGGGGTGCTGTTAAAGGGGTGCTGTTAAAGGGGTGCTGTTTTTGTTGCAAGCCGCCCTGCAAAGGCCAGTTTAATATTGACTCCTGAGGAGCTGAAGGCGCTCAGGGTTGTCACTGAGGGGTTGTTCCAGGCATTTTCTGGACTGTGACTGCGTGAGAACGGGGCTGGGCTGACTCACCCCCTCAGGGGCTGCTGCCGCTGGTCACCGCTCGCTGCCTTGGGTGGCGCTCATGCCCAGTGCGGGGTCACCCCGCGCCTTCCAGGGAGTACCCGAAGAGGCGCACTGCCAGGGCCTGTTTCCTTGCCATGCAGTGTGACGATGCTGCGGAAGGCAGTGCGATAACCACCCTTCAGATTCTAAGGCCGTGGCCTCTGTGGGTGCCAGATTCCTGTGTCTGGAGCTGTTGCTGGTCTTCCTTAGTTCAGTGCCGCTAAATTCCGTGGCTTCATATTTCTTATATAAAAGCAGGTGGCCCTGGCCGTGTTCGGAGGCGCGCTGAGCGCCCCGACTGCAGCTGCCAGCAGGGAAGTGCAGATCCCTGCTGGCGGGCAGCAGGGCAGGGCAGGCTGGAGGGGCGGCGAGGAGGGCCGTGGCCGGGCTGGGTGCCAGAGCGGCTGGGAGGGGCTGCTGTGGGCTGCTGCGATGAAGAGCCTGCCAGGTCCTCTGAGATAGACCACAGCGCTTGGATGTGGGCTCTGGCTAGGGGCTCCCTTATTTTATGAATTATTACTGACAGCTTAGTCAAAAACACATAAAGTGAGCTTTATTTCTCCCTAATTAGTTTTTTTAATCAGCATATTTTATTGGGTAAGATCCTTGAGTGTGGTCATTGAACTTATGTTTTGTTTAAAGTTTTATTTTTATTTATTTATGCATATGAGAGCTGGGGTGCAGACCAGCACTATCGGGAAGGGTGTGTGTGTGAGAGGACTCGCCAGAGGCAGAGTGGGGAGCAGAACAGGCAGGGTGACTGAGGGGAGCAGCCGGGAGACAGGAGAGGTCCGCTGTGCCCTTTGGATCAGCACCCTGGCTGGGGATCGAACTCGCGCTGTGGTGGCTGTGGATGGCTTCACGGTGCTGAGACTTTAACTCCTGCGCCACCAGGGAGGCCCTGAACATTTTTTTTTTGCACACAAACGGTCACCAAAGTTTTACTTATAACACCCAAAGCCCTGAACATATATTTCATGCCTTGATTCTTTTTTGGTGAAGGAAAGAAAACTTGCCCTTGAACATGTGGCTTGGTAGCGGCTGGTCTCTCAGCCATCCTAGTGGGCTGCCTCTCGGGACCCCTTTCTTAGGGCAATAACCCAGGCTGCAGGTGTCCCGCTGCTCTTGGTCTCCGGGCCTGTGTCTCGGAGCTCTCTGCAAGAACTTTGAACCAGAAAACCCAGGACATTAAACCAGATTATGAAGTAGAAAATAGGGGTCGCGGAAACAATGTCTCTGGGTGAGTAGTATTTGCTTACAACATGCCAGAGGGGAGCAAAAACTCTGTCGTAGCAACTTAAAAACCTGCCTCCCGTGGAGACTCAGGGTGGCCTGCGCCCTGCGCCAGGGCTCCGAGAAAGCTGGGCCTCGTGTGGGTCCGGCTGGTTGCCGCCCTGGCCGCCACGAGTCCTTGCGCGCCTTGGGCGAGCGGCCTGACTCCCGAGTGCCTCGGACCCGCAGGGGCTGGGGCCAGTTCCCCCGAGGAGGGGCGCGGAGCGCGTGCGGCCGAGTGTGGGGCTTCAGTGAGGTGAAGGGCCGGGGAGGCGCCCTGAGGACGCCGCCCGTGACCGTGACCGTGACCGAGCTGGCTTCTGTGTCCTCCAGGCTCCCGGATCGCCAGCTGGCTGCCCAGCTTCTCCGTGGAGGTCATGCACACCACCAACATCCTGGGCATCGCGCAGGCCGGCAATTCCCAGCTGAACGCGATGGTGAGGCGCTGGCGGGCGCGGGCTGGCCGCGGGGAGGGCGCGGGCCCAGACCTGGGTCCTGCTCTGCTGCGCACAGCGTCTGGCTTCGGGCCTCGAGGCCTGAAAGTGGTGGGGAAGCAGCTTTCCTTGCGCCCTGTGGCGGATGACCCGGCGTTCTCCCAGCGCTCCCACACTCGCTCTGTGGTCAGGCCAGTTTGAGGACTGTCCCTCAAAAATATTTGGGGAATTACTGACTGGAGCGAATGATGTGCCCTTTATGAAAAATTCCATTAGACCTACCAAGTTTCCTCTACCCTTGCCCACGCCCTCCCCCAAATAAAAGGTAAGTGTCTGCGTGCACGTCTGTGGGGTGTGTGGGCGCGTGGGAGCCTCACTGATGCAGGGAGATTCCCATTCTTTCCTGTTTCTGTTACTTCCCAGAGCTTTGTGGTATGGCACTTTTGTAGCCTCGGGAAAAAGCGCCTCGCCCACGCTGAGGTAGCAGCGTTCATTGTGGGGCCCCAGAGTGCAGGCCGTGGTCAGGGCCAGGGCCCTGGCTACTGGGCAGCCGGCCAGCACCCTGGGGAGTCACTCGTGGGTTTGCCTTCCTGTGCTTACGAGCACCGAAAGGCCGTTCCTGCAGCTGGCGTTAGGGAACATAGACCGGCCTGCCTTGCACGAGCAGGCGCGAGTGCCCCCCTTAGAGAAAGTACATTCTGCTTGGGCTGGCGGTGACACACAGATGGGTCCTGGCCGGCGGACCAGCGCTGCGGCAGCACGGCGGCCGCGGCCTCACGGAGGCCTCGCCAGAGGGTCTCTCTGAGGAGGTGACGTTATACCCGGACACGAAGGACAGAAGGAGGCGCACCAGGGGAAGGAGGCAGTGGACAGTAGGTGCAAAAGCCGTGGGGGTGAGGGAACACCGGAAACTGAGGGATCACTGAGGTGGGAGCCCCGCCGGTGGGGGCCGTGTGTGGCATAAATCAGATTGCAGGGCCAGGTGATGCAGGGGCGTGTACCAGAGACATTTTGTGGAGGTGGAGTGGGGGATGGGACTGTGGTGATGGCACACGGGTGACTCGGTGACGGGAAACCCACGGAGATTACAATTGAGATGGGAAAAAAATGTACAAAATGATGTAAAAATTAACTATTAAGAAAAAAAAAAGCAAGTGACAGGAGCCAGTCAGCAGGCCTGGCCACCTCCCCGAGGCTGGCAGGCACCTGGGGGGGGGAGGGGGGGTGCCCTGTGCAGGGCGGCAGTGCAGAGGGGCGCAGAGGGGCGCAGACGGGCCATGGGACTCGTCAGGGGGCTGCGGCGGAAGTTCCGGCAAAGGAGGGTGGCGGATGCAGGCAGTTGGAAGGTGAACTCACGGGACGGGCGCTTTCATTCAG